CTTCCGTAAATATTACAGAGAGAGTAAGTAGCGCACAGATCCATAACGAGACTTGTTTGGATATGTTAATGATATTAACTGTTGGAGAAATCAAGAAGTTGGAGGCAATCTATCTATTACCAGCTAGGAAAATGAATAAGAAAATGTAGTAGATGTATACAATGGAATACCATATAGTCTACAAATAGCAACATAGATAGATCATCAAAATACAGGGTTTGGGTGAAAAAAAAACCTTATACAGAACGAAATCTAAATTCAAATACTATTTTATAAATTAAAAAATATGCTGTTTACATACGCTATATGAAACTTTTTTAAAGGACACATACACATCCAAGAATATATTATACATTAAGCATACTGCAGTGTCTGTGGAGAACATGATAGGGAAATGTGGGTGGAGAAAGAGGATGAAGGGTAGGGGAGAAACAAAAAAGAAATAAATACAACAAAAGAGCCCTATAGCCATAGATAATCACAGAGAGCCTCTAAAATGGCTCTCGGCGACCTCTGCCCCTGTGACTTCCATCTTGCTCACTGTCTCTTGCTGCCCTGCTGTCTCGCTCTACGGGAAACCAGCTACCATGTTGTGAGCTGCCCAGTGCAGAGGCTCACATAGCAAAGAACGGAGGGAAGCCCAGCCAACAACCAGTGAGGCACTGAGGCCCTCATTCCAACAGTCCAGAGGAACTGAATCCTGCCAACAACTATGCGTGGGAGACTGGAAGAGGATCCTCCCCCAGTTGAGCCTTGAGATGACTACAGCCCTGATAACCTTGATTATAGCCTGTGAAAGACCCCAAATCAGAAGCACCCAGCCAAATCAGGGCCAGACCCTGACCAAATAAACTGTACCAAATATTTGTTTTAAGCCACTAAATTTTGGGATAATTTGCCATGAAGCAATGCAGCTATGAACAAAAGTACACAAGTAGCTCAAGACCGGGCATCTGAGGTCCAAAAGAAAAAGAAAAACACATCCGTGAAAAAACTAAAGAGTAACTCTCTGGAGTCAGTGATAATATTTCATCTTGATAAAAGCTCCATGGCCTGGGACCATGGCTCTCTGTTACTTACTATCTGCAGCACCCAGAACCATGCTTGGCACATAGCAGATACTTAATAAATCTTTAAATGAATGAATACTGCCAAGTTCTGTCTTAACTACTAAGATTTCTTGCCTTTGTTCAGTTCCTGACCCTCAGCGCTCTCAGTCTTTGATCTACTCATCCCTACTAGAGCTGCATGACTGCTTCTGCCCTGAAACTGCACGTGACACTATAATGACCACTAGTGACATCCAGTCTAGGCAACAGTGTTAGAAGAGGACAGCCGGGGCCAGCTGCTGGTACTGCAGCTTACACAGTGGTTATGGAGGGGCTGGGATATTTTCTCTCTCTCCCTCTTAACAGACTTTCTCTTGATCTTTCTTCCTTTCCCCCATTAAGAAAAGAAAATCTAAGTTAAGTTGTTACTTATATATAGGTGGTCCTCATTTTTTTCTTTTCTTTTTTTTTTTTTTGAGGACCATGACTTAATGGCCCAAAACTCACAGAAGTCATTCCAGGCCCTCTTTGAAGGTTCTATGTTATGAATACTACTTTCTAGACAGATAAAATTCCTTAGAAGCCAACAAATTGACTTTTTCTAACAAACAAAAATGTAAAGTCAATCCAAGGCCACATTAATAAATGACCTGAAAAATTCTTGGTTAGCAAAGAAACAACCTGTTTACTGAAAAAAGTATTAAAATACTCTTAGTTGACCAAATGTTAAGACAAAAATAATGTTTCCTATTTCTTTAGCAGTCTCTAAGCAAAAGATATTGTTCTTCTCAAATGAATGTCAACACTAACTTTATGAGATTATCCAACTTTCAAGAATATATCCTTTCATTGCTAAAATTACACTGAGGAGGACAGAAACTGTGTCTATCTAGCACTATATCTGGCAATATAAAGCAAGCTCTTGTTTTATAAAAATTATTAAAGACAAATAACCAAGGGTAGTGATACCTGCTTTATCTCACAGCAAGCTTTTCCTTTACATTATTCTATCAGAACCACCCTTGGCTTACATGGCTTGAGTATTTATGACTGAGCTAATGATTTAATTCATTTTTTAAAAAATAAGTAAGATGCGCTATGAAATTTTCATTCAGGTAACGAAGTTCATTTTTTTTTTAATTAAACACTAAAAACTCAATATTACAGCAAAATTCTAGCAAACTTAGTATTGGATATGGTGTGGTATCTCCACAAAGAGACACAAATAGTGTCTCTTTCTCCCCTAGGATTAGGAAAAAGAAGTAATCAGACACTGAAAAAGAACAGGCAATAGATCTAAATATCTGAATTCTAAGAGTCCTATCCTCTCCCAAAACAAATATGGGGCCTTCTCTTATCCACAGAATGTTCATGTCTATCCCAAAAAGCAATCATAATGCTAATTTACAGTCAGTCCCTGATGACTATGAATAAGCACAATAAATGAGTGACCCAGGACCAATTACAGCATGAAATACATTAAGTATGATAAATATTTAAGCATGAGAAAGTTATATTTTTATAAAAAGGGCACCAAAAAGCAACTTACTCAGGAAAAAAGCAAACATATATCATATATCTATTTAATAAACTATCTTTCCATTTACCCCAAACAACACAAAAATGAGTGACTATAACAATTAAAATGTAATTTAAAAGCTATATTCAAGCCACAGCAATAAACATCACAAAATCTATTTAATATGTTATCAATACTAACCATTTTGATTTGATACACTTTTTAATCAAATAGCTAAAAAACAAAACAAAACCAAACCCACAAACCAAAAAACAAAAACCCAAACCATTGCTGTAAAAACAAATTCAACAATGTTGTTATGCAGTAAATTCTACAAGATTCTACAGTCCTTAGTATTTGTCAGAATTGTGATATCAGTGTCAAAATAAAACGCAGAATCCATTGTAGACTGCATAGTATGTCTAGTATTCAATCTATAAAAGGTTAAAAGCTTCTTGAATAACCAATGACATAAAGGAGCTTTCTATAGGTTTTTATAGTCTAGGAAGACTGGAAAGTTGATGGGCACTACTTTTTTTCTAAGGCATGATACAAGTTATTAATATCAATACAAGAAAAATAATTTTGCCACTATTTCGAAAAAAACAGGGCTGCATATTGAGACATTTAGGCCTATGTGAACATTGCAAGAATCTTTCTTGAAACGTTAGTGTTCTGTAATTGTGACTATGTAGTGAAGATCTATCGCAAACATTCTAAAACATTAGGAATGTCTTCAGAAGTAATTAAGATTTGATTTCAAAGAGGAAGACAAATTTGTGCTTTCAAGAGAGAAGAGTGCAACACTATGTTGATGGAAGTTAGTAACTGATATAAAAGCGGCACTTGTCAGTTAAAAAACTACTTTTGATTCAATAAGGGCTTGAGATTACCCACTATAAGGCACTTACAGATCCACGTTTATCTGTAACTTCGTAACCATATAATACTTTATGAAATAAATATTTCGAGGGATAAATTTTCTAAAAGGTACCAACTCTCAACAAAAAGGGCCATAAGCTTCCCAGAGGACGCCCGGCTCCGTAATAAACTAAGTAAGAAAAAACATCCTCAACAATATCACACCTACCTAATAGAGAGTTTTTCAGGGGTGAGGGTTTCGGGGGCGGGAGCGTGGACAGATTCCGGAGAGGATCGGTCAAAAGGAGAATAAAAACATGTTCTCTTGGCTAGAAACTCCTCTAAAGTCACAGGCCTAGAGACAGGATTGGCAGGAACCCTCAGAAGTCCCCGGCGGGACAGGATTCCTTAAATAAGGGAACTGTCACCTGAGCCACAGGTGTCAACGACAAAGACCTAAGACCTCGGGCCAGGCACGGGCAGGCTCAAGGCAGGATGCGCAGCGGTCTCGCAGCGAAGGCCCCCGAGTCCCTCGCCGACCCGGCCAACGGGGTCGAAGAATCCACACTGCACCAGAAGAGAGAACGACTCACCTGTGGAGGCCGAAGCTACTCGGAAACCGCCCACCGCCAGGTGGAGGGGCCGGGCCGAGCGAGGCTCCGGACGAGGAACGAGGGCCCTGCCCAGCCCCAACCACCCCGCGCTGCTGGTTCCACCGGCACCAGACCCCGGCGATGCTTCGGCTAATCAAGAATTTGAAGAAGCCACACTGTAAAAGAAGAAATGACTTTTCTCTACTGCCTCTTCCGGTGCCGGGGTGGCCTCGGCGACTCCGGCGCACGCGGGGCGACGCCCCGGGAACGAGGACGCCGGACGGCGTGCGCGCGCCGGACGCGGGCTGGGCGGGGCCGACGGAGGCGGGGCTGGACCGGCGCGCCTGCGCATTCCGCGTCCCCTTCGCTGCCGACAGGCGGTAGAGTCCGGGTGAGGACCTGAACCAGTACCACCTCGGGTACCTCCATATCTCTTTCGAGATGCTTCCTCAGTCTTCTTCCCATTTAATTTTCACCATATTTCTCAGAAGTAAGGAAGTCAGAGTGTCTATTTTACAGGTGAGTGTCAAAGGTAAAACAATTCGTTTATGACAAATCCTGTTTTAGGACCAAATATTCAGAATTTGACTGAGGCGCTTGTCGCGACATAACGAATAAAAGAGAGTGGACAAACAAAGATGTTAGGACACCCTGCTGGTGGAATTTTATTCTCTTGATTTTTTTTGGTCAACGTTTTTATACAACCAGATAACAAATAAAATTTTGATGTTCCACGATTTATAGACACATACTCAACAGTACTACGCTTTCCCCAATATCTCCATCCTGTACCTTCATCTATAGAAAGAATAGAGACATTTAAGATACGTTTTCCTTTAGGAGTGCATGGTAATTAAAATTCTAATTTTAAAGCATCCGTTAATTTAACACAGACTTAGGTAAAGTCACTTCGAAGGTAACACATCTATTTAATCTGCAACTACTATGTGCCAGACACTGTTGTAGGCATTGGGTATACAGTGGTTAACAAAATAGAATATTTCATGAAGTTTAAAGTCTTGTAAAATTCTCAACCAAGTAAAAAATATTTTTGCTGCGGTGGATATGAACTCTATTGTAATGGAGCACAGGACACTATCTTTTTGAAATAGAAAACCGATTCAGTGAGGCACCAATTATCCTAGTTAAGCTGAATTTTCATCTTTTATGTGAGTGCAAAAGGTATGTTAAATTATAAAGCCAATTTATAGTTCTAAGACGTCTCAAAGGACAAAATGAGTGCATTCCATTTATATGAAATTCTAGAACAGGCAAAACTAAGCTGTAGTAACAGCTAATCAGAGGTCGCATTGAAGAGTGGGGGGAGGGAAGAGAGACTGCAAAGAGGCATGAAGAAATAGCCCAGATTTCAATTAGGGTAGTGATTAAACAGGTGTATATGTTTATTAAAACTAATTGAATGTTACACATAAAATGGATGCATTTCACTGTACATAAATTACACCTCAATGGAGTTGATTTTTAAAGTAAAAATCTTCAAAAGTGTGGCTTACATTCACTAGTATTTCTTTGTTAGTTGTGCTAGTAGTCAGCCTATGCTATAGTAACACTTCACTCAGAGAGGTTTCAAACAATAGGATTTTTTTCTCATTTACTCTGTATAATCATATCAGAGTAGATGCAGGCACTTGGACCCGAGGCAGTGGAGAAAAGTCATTTCTTCTTTTACAGTGTGGCTTCTACAACCATCACCCTTCTAAAATAATTGTTCCAAACTGGGACTCAAAATTGGAGATTATTTTTCCTGGTGAATGGTCAGATTAATTTGGCAGGATCATAAGACACATGAAGGGAAGTTATGGAAAAAGAGGTAGAAAGGTAGGTGCTAGTGAAGAGTTTAAACTTTATTCAGTAGGCAAAAAGGAGCCACTGAAAGTTTTCAAATGAAGGCAAATAGCAAATGGAAGTGAATTTGGCAGTTGTGAGTAGGAAGGTTTGGAGCGGGGAGAGAACAGATTGAGAGAACTGTTGCAAGAGGTGTTGTGACCTCTGGAATTACACAGAAAGGAATGTCATAAAGACCACCTCTTGACATTATGTATTTTTTGTCTCCTTTGTCCCAGTAGGTAAATTTAAAGAAATTAGATACTTCTTCCATTTGGCTAGAGCAATGTCTGGCATATTGTAGGCATTGATTAGATATTTGTAGAATAAATAAATACATTAAATCGCTTTAAAAAGAGTTTACAAAAAATTAATTTAAAAAATAATAAAAAATAAAAAGAGGTTACAGCTCTATTGGCTGAAAACCCACTCCTCTGTTGGGGCATTCTCGGTCTTTTATTTCTTTTATCTTTTCACCTCCCAAATTCCACAGGGCTGCAGCCTTCCTTAGTGTGGCCCATCTCCTTCTAAAATATACCTTTAATAAATCTTTTTATAAATTTTAAAAAAAATTGAAATCACTTTAAAAAGAATCTGAAGACCCTTTTTACATTTCATCAGAGAAATATAAAAGGACTTTTAAGACCAGTTCATTAATTTCACTCACCTGGTCAGTTGCATCTGGCCGTCCTCCATACTTCAAAAAGATGAGCTATCTCTTATGGTCTCAACCTTACAGAGTATAAGACCAGAAAATTCTAATCACAAGTAAGAATCTGCTGAATTTTTGGATCATGTCACAATATTTGGAGTAACAGCCTGGGACAGATCCCCGGTATTGTTCACCAATATATACACATTCTTCCTCAGTAGTAGCTTCCAACACAGACCTGCTACTTCCAGATTGCTGAATGTACAAGGAAAAGATCACACCCATGAAATCGATGCACCACAATTGCATGACTTCCAGCCCACCTGACACGTATTTTTCTGCATATTCCACCTCAGTTCTCTTACTCCTAACATGTTATTTTAAACTTCTACTACTTTTTCCTCAAGCCAGCCCCCTACCCCTTTCTGCTGTCTCCAACTTGAGAGAAAATAGCTCTCAGACTGAAATTCCCTCAAATTGCTCGTGAAAGCAGAGACTGCCATCTGTCCACCAAATACTCATTTTCCTAACTGACAGAACGTAGCGTGATGAAACTGGGTCCCCTGGGATAAGAACTATATTTTCCAGACTCTCACACAGCTAGATGTGGCCATGGATCTAACTTCTGGGCAGTGGAAGTGTTGTGTAGAACATTTAGGAAGGCACCTTAAAGGGAGAGGCCATGAAAATCCATCCCCCACCATCTCGTTTCACCAGGTTAGACCAGAGAAAAGATGGAGAGAGTATACACAGCCAACTGCTGATCATAGTGACCTTTAGGATAAAAGCCTTATGATACGGATAGCAGAATTGAACAGATGAGGTGTGGGCTGACATCATGGAGATGCCATACCAGCTGTGAACTGCCAACTCCAGACATTCTAAGCCATGGTTGTTTTCGGTTTTATATGCAGCTGAACTTAATCCCAATACTCTTACCCTGAAATTTACAAATGTTTCTACTTCACACTTGCCCTTTGGTTTTTGCTTCCTGTCTCAATGAAAGTGTTTCTTTTTCTAAGTCCAGTTCCTACACTTGAACTTCTCACAATCTGACAATTTGTCTTTAATCAACAAAAATTTCCTTTTGGGTATTTCTTATATGTTCTATTTTCTTGTTGGGATTCCCTATCTTTACATTTGTTACATTTTTCTTTACGTCACATAGTTTTAATAGTCATTGTAATATCTTTGTAATATATTTTTAACATCTAATTCTAGATGTTTAACATCTAATTCTAGATGTTAAAAATATATTACAAAGATATTACAATGACTATTAACATCTAATTCTAGATGTTAATCTAGATGTTAAAAATAGGATCTTAGGGTCGCCCTCCACTGATTGTAATCTCTCTTCTGACTAGGTCTTATTTTTATATTTCTTTGCATGTCGGGTAATTTTGGAGTATATCCTGGATATTGGATATGTTATGTTATACTCTGGATTCTGTGATATGCCTCTGGAGTTCGTTAAGCAGGCAATTAACTTAACTCTGTTAAGCAGCATCTCACATGCCAGTTTAGTTCTATTCTTCTTATACAGATGCTTGGATTCCTCCCCACAAATGTGTGGTTCATGACTCAGCTAGAGACTTGGGCCTCTTTCAGTTAAGATATGAAAACGAGATACTCATTTAGTGTCATTTTTCTCTTCCAAGAGTTGACTTTCATCCAGAATCTGCCTGCTCTTGGCTCCACTGTAGTATCTTTAGTAGTTATTTTTCTTGTATTTTTCCCAGATGGTTGCCATACGTGATAAAAGTCAATCCATTAGGAGCTTCCTTGATCAAACTAGAAGCAGAGTCGAGTTATCTTTTAAGGTAGACCATTCGGGTGATAGGTTAAACAGTAAATTCGAAGGACCAGAATGAAGTCAAAGACTCCCTTTAGAAAGTTATTACAATAATTCAGGGAAGAGCTGATGAGGGAATCAACCAAATTAGTAACAATGGGGATGAAGATGATGCATTAGAGAAAAACATACACGGTACAGTAACTGAATTTCATGATTGATTGCATGGGAGGTGGTCAAAGTACAAATTATACACTGTATACACTGTATCAGAATATAGGTTATA